CATTTTGTCAAAACGTATGCAACGCTTAGAAGGAAACTTCAGAAATCCCACAGAGTATATATATTCTTGATCAGCATCAAATTTTGAAATGATGTAAGCGTGTCCGTCTGTCAGTCTGCCCTTCTGTTCATCTGTGTTGCGGTCGATAGGTCGCAAAAATCAGCTCCACGCCTTCAAGTTTGGCAGAAACATTGAAAGTTCTTGCACGCAGGCTGGTATTGAAAATCGGCCCAATAGTACATGAAGAACATCTTTAGCAGCACATAAACTTAGAAAACATCTGTTTTTCAAAAGGATTCAAAAAATTGCACTACAGCAGATAAATGGCACAACGCTTTGAACATGTGTTCCAATAATCGGAAAAATCTTCCACGCTTGCCCCATAAAACATCACTTCCAAATTCGGAATGCATCTAAGCATGCCCATCTATTCAGCCGTTGATCTGTCCATCAGCCCAATTGTGTAGTACCAATGGTATACATTCTTTCGTACGCAAAAAAACAATTATTGCCTACAAATTTTGCAAAACAATTTGAAAACGGCGAACGAACAGGTCAAAGAACCCGTTTGCAATACCGATCCATCTATGCAACCAAATTTGCGAACCCTCTTGATTTCCGTGTGTTTTGCTTGTTGTGCATAAACTGCATCAGATCGATGATATAAATTTCTACAAAATCATTCTACAAAAATTAGCCACGCCCATCCACTATTATTGAATATACAAACTTATACTTATAGTTTTTTATCAGTCTTTTCTAGGACAACGGTGATGGGTATAAAAAAAATTTGGCCGCAACCGAATATAATTTTCGTGCATGTTTAAGTTTGGCGCAGTTAGAGAACAACATTTAAAATCCCTTAAGGTGTTTTTCCCTTTCATACCGTAGGTCATTTCTTGTAATTGTATATGAAGTTTGCACAGATTTTCGAATACATGAGCATATCGGCACAATAAACGAATATGGAAAAGTTTGATGACATGAGACAGCATTTTGAGCCCATGCCCTGCCATGTGAACGTCTTTTAAATCTAAATTAAAATTTAAACCTAATTTATTTAATGTCGTTGTAAATTTAGTATTCTAAAATTTGGATCACAATGATCACTTTTTTGGATCCCTTCGAATATAACGATTTTCATGAGAAGTAATCCCATTAGGCAGAGTGATGTACGGTATTTAATAGTCGGCTTTTATAGATTATAATGCTTTGATTTAGTTTTAAATTTAAAATTTTGGCTATTTTGTTAACTTAGCGCATCACCTTCGAAATGCGTATCAGGATTAAGGCAAAGAGTTACTTTCGATAGCATTCGTTTAGTTTAATTGAAAGCTCAGTGAGACGGTTGTTTATAAAAACAATTAAATATGTGAATATAAAATGAACGTTAGTCGAGCACCACAGTCGGAAACCAATTGAAGGCAGACTTTCAATGTACAGTTTTACTAAAGTAATCGCAAAACTAAATCGATTGCCTCGAGCTGCGATAAAATATTTTGTAAATTCTTTAATGATAATAAAAAAAAAAAAAAAATAAATAAATAAAAAAATAAAAAAACAATAAATTTTGTTAATAAAATGAACTACTAGTAGGTTAACCCGAATCAATCTTCATTGAAAAATTTAACATCTAATAATTTATTGTAAGGTTTCATCAAACAACATCTCTTGGTCTTTTTTGTTATGGAATCAAAAAACCCCCCCAAAAAAAGAAAAATAAAAAAATAAAAAATAAAAATAATACGAAAGAAAGGGCGAACCGAATTAATTTATCTTAGATTGTAAACAATTAAATATTTAAGATAACTTAGCGAAAACGTTTGGAAACATGAAACTGACATATATAATAATAGGTGTATATATTTTTTTATATGTATGTGTAAATATAATATAAATATCCATATATATATATATATATATATATATATATATATATGCATATAAGCGGGCGCGGGCGCGCGCGCGTCTGTGTGTGTATGTGTGTGTGTGTGTGTATGTGTGTGTGTGTGTGTATTTGAAAATAAAGTATATAACTTAACATTAATTTACAAAGATCATAATTATATCACACAAAGTTGTTGTTTTAAATGTCAAAAGGTCCCAGAACACAATAGCTATTGTTTATGACTCCATCTAAATGGGCGCACAGTACATTTTAAGTTCCGAATAACCACAGGGACGGCGACAGCATTCATGTATAAGTCCAGTCTGTTTCGGTCTATAAAAAATGCCATCGTCGGTGGCGAAACGTTTCAATCTAAACATTCCGTTACCGATATTGTCCGCTAAATAATAATAAAAATTGAAAAATAAAAAAAAGAAGACAAAGCAAAACGAAACAAATCAAAAACAAAAACAATAACAAAATAAGAAGAAAACAAAACAAAGTCAGTCATTAGAATATGGTGGTGGTAGATTTTTAAAGGGCGTTTAGTGTGGTAGAGGTGGAGGGTGTATAAATGATTGGGTGGGACTCTCTGTCTGTGAGAAAAATCAAACTTACGATATTTTCGAGATAATGAATTGAAACGACCGCCACATATTAAACGTATGGCATCCGATAGAGCACTACTGCAATAGCGTTTGTATTCAAAACTGGTATTATCGGCACCTGGTGTTAGAGGCAATGGTTGTATGGGAGCTGGTATAAAAACTAATAGTAGCAGATAGACTACAAAGACAACAAAAGCTGAGCAACGCATGCTGGCAATGGTGCTGTTGATGGTGATACTGGTGATAATGAAGACTTTTGAGATCATCACCTGTAATAAATTTAAATACGAAACGCCTTAACATTTGGCTAATGTATTAAACGCTCACATACGCATACATACACATACATATTACGTTCATGCATTTAAACACACGCGCACTCTCTCCTCTCTCTCTCTCTCTCTCTCTCTCTCTCTCTCTCTCTCTCTCTCTC